ATTCTTGGGCTTCTCAGAAAGCCTAAAAGGGCCCCAGGGCAAAAAGAGAGATTGAAAATGACACCATAAAGTTCCCAAGGAGACCACTAAGACAATTTCCCTGAAATCAAGAAAATAGAAATGTTAAGAAACAGTTCACGACTCCACTGTTGTTTGTATGAGGAGAGAAAGAAACAATAGCAAATGAAAATAAGAATTGCCACTGCTTAGTTGGAAAGAAGTTGATTACATTTTGCCTGAAACTGTTTTCCTTTCTTTGGGTAGAAGCAGAGTTGATAAGTTTTACTATAAATCTTTGTAAAGGAATAACTGAAAGCATGTCTTAATCCATTTAATTTTAAAGAATACTTTCTTCTTTCCCTTCCCTTTCTATTGTGTAAACCGTGCAAATGAACACCTGCAATATGTCTGATCATAAAGGGATTTTCTTCACTGTCCATAAAAATTTTGAGTAATCTTGCAGTAAGAAGCTTGGGAAAGAAAGAAAAAAATTTCCTACTCGAGTCAGCATCTTGACTCAGTGTCTTAGAAGCTTGGTAAGGCTCAAGTAACATCTTTGAACCTCTGCCTGCTACTTCCATATTGTGATTTGGTTTCTAATGCTGTGTTAGAGACTCCAAGGAAGAGATGAAGAAGAAATTTTGTTTTCGTTGCTCCATGGAATCTGAGATCACACAAAGTTCTCCAGATTGGAGAAATCTTTCTTTCTGCCTTGAAAGCAGCATAGAAAATCTTATGTCTCAACTCGAAATTCTGCTAAAGTGAATAGTGGGGCAATTTTTAGAGAGAAGAGAAAATGTAACGTACTTTATTAATCCACTGGGGGTTTTTTTGCCTTGTGTTTACTAGCACTACTAATTTGAGTTTCTATTCGGCACGTTAGTGACCACTAAGCCCTTTCATGCTGTTTGGGTCAGGTATTGTGCTCACTAGTCTCAGGTTCTAGCACCTTGAAAATTGTCAAGAGGAGCTCACAAAGCAGGCTCAATAGGTCAAGCAGATTAGATAAAATCACTTTCAACAGTTGTGTGACATCACTTGTTCTGCTATGAGAAGCAGTAAAACCCTGCTTCCTACCTCAGCAAAATGACAGGAAAGTTTAAACTGCCTTCAGAGTTTTCCAGTGGAAAATATGCTCTGATTGAGGAATTTTTACTGGTTCTATAAAGGCTGGGAATTCCTTTGCTGCTTTGATTTTAATAATTTCAATTTGATCTTTCAAAGTATAGTAACAATTAATACTAACTAATGTCTGTATTCTGACTTTTATGTACATTTGATTTATACTTGTATGTATTCTGTATATATGTAAGAATATAGATTTAGAGATGTCGTATCTGTAATTGTTCTATATATATGTATTAGAATACTGATAATATATCAGATTTCTACTCTTGAAATATTTATCCAGGTCCAGTATGTGCATCTTACATACACATTGGTGTTTGGAATGCAAGGATAGCATAACCTGTGGTTCAGAATGCTGAAATTCTGCAGTTCAGAGTATTTTTCATTTAAAATACAGATTGCTTTAAGGAATTGATATATGCTAAAATTTTAAAACTACATCGTAGTAAAGACTTATAGTCCTCTTTTTTGTTTTGTTCCAATCAGAATAGAAGGCATTTTGTGAACAAGCCTCCTAACTAGTGTTTTGATATAGCTGTGCTATTCTTTTCTTTTTTCTTTGTAGTCAGTATTGTACCTTTCTGTAGATAAACTAACACTAGGGATTAAGGAAAGGAAAATACTACCTTTTCACTGGCTAGGAAGGCCATTAAAATGACGAAAATAGGAAATGTAAAATAATGTTCTAGCATTCTAAGTATTCTGAAAAATGGCAGTAGATGATAAGGATGTTCTTACATTTTGAGCTGCAAAATACACTATCAAGTAATTTTTTTGTAGAATTGAAAGAAATTTACTGTTTGAATAGGTGATTACTAATATTATCTCCAGATAGCCAGTCACTGATGTTTTCAGGAAGCATTGTTAATACAACAAATAGTGCCCAATCCTTCTTAGTGTTCTTAGTTGCCCCTAGTACTGCAGGAAATACTCTGAGGTCTACAAAGTGAAGTTAAGCAAAAATCCAGCTGTTTGCATTCAGTTCATAACCACTAGGAGAAAGTTCACCCATGCTGATGGTTTGTTTCTTGCTATTTTTCAGCTGGGATAATGAAGTAATGCAGATTTTTGGCAAGGGGTTTTTCTCCATTAGGCATGTTTAGTAACAACACTGAATTGTGCATTAATGATCAAATACAACCACTTTGCAGAAAACTTACATCTTATTACACCTGTTTGCTCTTGGCAAAGCTGGTATTTCATCCACTTTCCTTCTTCTGAAGGACAAAAGCAGGCTATGTGGCATATATGACATCTCATTTCTGGCTAGCCTCGCACTGCAATTTGTTTCAGTAGACTTCCCATCTTGAATAGGTTGTGATGCTTTAAAGTCCCCGCCCTGAGGATTTCAGCTCTGGTTGGGTTTTCAGCAAATGAAGAAATAACCTGGACCCTGGTCTGTCAAAGATCATATTCTGTGGAATTCCTTTATTTTTCTGTAGTAATGTAAGAAAATGAAATCCCACTTTATTGAATAAAAAACCAAAAAAGTAAAAAACACCACCTTAGATTCTCTAGAAACAGTAAAGAAACAAAATTTGTAAAGATTTGAAAGACCTATAACTGAAGTCTACTTTTAATTTTTTTAATTACAAAAAAAAAGATACCAGTAGTTTCAGTCATAGTGTGTTGATGATGTGATTTGATCCAATATGACCATGAGTAATTGCAATTTTCTTCCTCAGGCTTCACATATTTCTACAAAGGAAAAGAGTACTGGAAATTCAATAACCAGATGCTCAGGGTGGAACCTGGCTATCCCAGATCCATCCTCAAGGATTTTATGGGTTGTGATGGACCAGCAGATCGAGATAAAGACCGACACAGCCCTCAAGATGACGTTGACATTGTCATCAAACTGGACAACACAGCCAGCACTGTGAAAGCCATAGCCATCGTCATTCCCTGCATCCTGGCCTTGTGCCTCCTTGTCTTGGTTTACACTGTGTTCCAGTTCAAAAGGAAAGGAACACCCCGCCACATACTGTACTGCAAACGCTCTATGCAAGAGTGGGTGTGATGCAGGGTTTTGGTTTTTTTCTTTCCCTCCCAGGAGTTTGTGGTGACTTGAGATTCAACACAAGAGCTGTTATGCAGTTTCCTAGCTAGGAGCGGGCATCTGTCAGTCTGAAACAAAGCTGATCTTTAAAACCCGTGGGGTTGCCTGTCCTGTGCATGAGTGGTGATTCACTCAGCTGGGAAGCTTCCATGATACACAGTATCTGCTGTTTCTTCAGTCCTTTGTCTTTCTTTGTCATTTGATTCTAGGCCTTTCCTCTGCACGCTCAATGCCCTATAAACTATCAGGATTAACTAATGAAGAGGAAAAACAGAACAAAGAAATCTCCAATGTTTCTACATTTGTCCCTTAAGGCCTGTTCCCCTTTGAAAAATTTTTTGCTGAAAGTGAATTTTTTTAGAAAAACACGACAACCCACAATGGAACTTTCAGGAAAGTGAGAAGACCCAAAACAGCTTTGTCTCCAAAGAGGATTGCTTTCTGTCTGCTACGGATAAAGTCCTATACTCCTGCTTCCAGTTTTGTTGTCAGGTGGGAGACTCGGATGACACACAGGACTTCAGACTGTTCGGACAGCCATTTTCCAACAAACAAGGGGCCAAAATATCTGCAATATAGTAACAGCCTTAATAATACATTCATTTTGTGTTTTATACAGCTGCTCTGGGCTACATCCTCAATGTTTTAAACTCATTTATATTCATTACTATATTCAAGCAGAACCTTTTTATTGGTTTGTTGATTTTTGGTTGGTTTTCCTGCATAGTCTTTCCCAAGCTGTACCAAGCCAACTGCCCCAGGCCTTTCATAGGTCTGTCAAGAGCACTCATTCCAAAGCACGGTAAAAAGCAGTGTGTCTCGGAAGTGGATTTCAATGAACAAAAGCAACAGTCATGCTATCGAGAAACTTAACGCTGGTATTACGTTGGTGGTGTAACCCTTTGAGAACTATTGCATACGTTTTCAGAGTCCGATGGATGTTAATCTTGGTTGTCATTAAATTATAGGACTGTGTTTGGGTAATACAGGTTTTTGAAGAAAATTAGTTTTCAAAACAGATTTCCTTTGAGTGCAAGTGAGTGCTTTTAATTATTTGCATTATTGATAGAAAAAGCATTTGTAACATAAATAGAAAACAAAATATATTTACGAGCTACTTTCTGGTTAAAGGAACCAAGCCTATTTTAATAACTTCTACCACTTACCAAGATTTTTTCTGAACTGGCAACAGTTTTATAGCTTCGCCTCTTATCCTAAGCATCTTGAATTTCTCTTTTAAACTGTGTTGCATGATAATTCAGTTTGCCTCCACAAAGGTAATGTTGCCTTTCAAAGGAAAGCTAAAACGATGACTCTGATATTGCATGAGTATCCTCTGGTGTGTTAGCCCTTTGCATGTTCATCATAGTTCTCAAAGGGTTAGTCAAATTTCTGGCCTTCAGCCAAACATGATATCACTGACAGAGCCAAGGGACCACCAAAGCATTTTGTCATTCTGTGTAATTTGTGCTAACAGCAGTATTGTCATTTTCATGTGACCTGCAGAGCAGGTTTGTATTAATATTTTTTTCCTAGAGAAAAGTCAGCAACTGACAGACCTCTTTATTGATTTTAGGAGCTGCTTCTTGCAGTGATAGGCTTTACAGTCACTGGGCTGTGAACTTATTAAAGGTGGTCAGAATGATGCACCCCAAAAGTCAGACACCTGGTTTTTTATGAAAGCCAGGATTTGAGGGGAGTAGCTTTTGCAACAATGAACAGCTTGCCTTGAACTTGATTATTGACCTGTTGACTGTCATTACCAAGTTAAACATTGTCTTCTGTGAACAGCTTCACTGTCTGAATTTCCTTAAAGTGTACTGTCCTATGTCTTTGATCTTTGACCTTTAACTTGCAAACTGGCACAAACTGAAGGGAATCTGGTATTGCAAATGGACTAAGACAAGTTTTATTTCTTAAAAGGCCTGATATACATAATCCGAAAGTCAAGAAAAAAGAAATGTTTTCATAGAAAAGAATGGACATAAACCTAAGTATTTATGATAGATCTGTAGAAGGGTATTTTGCTATGTATACATGCACACTCTAAAAATGAACTACAGTAGAAGTTAATTTTTATTTAACTTGAATACAATTTTCAGTATAAAATTATCATTTCTACAAATAGCTAATTATTAATGAAAAGGTTATAGGAAAATATTAAAATACTTGAAATGGCCAGTATGGGCTTTTACATAAAATGAAACTTTTGTACTACATTCAACCAATTTCTTACTGGTTTCTTAATCCACATAACTGGATCACTTTTTAGAGAGTGTAGGTATATATAGATATATATTATTGTTATTATTATTTTGGTAATGGATAGCTTGACTGCCTTGAATTTATATTTATATTGAGCATAGCATGAAAAATAGTATGCCTTTTTGTTCAATTACATGTTTTTATATTGATTTGAGGACTTATTTTATGAACATATGTGGCATGCTATAAAGCATTGCAAACGTATTTCTTAGAGCATAAACAGATATACATATGTACGGCTAACAAAAATGAAGATTAGAAAAAGATATAGTTTCACAACAAATATGCAATGCAGATGGCATTTTGGAGATGTTTTGTAGACGTACTTCATACTGTAGGTTAGAAGTGCACCAGTATCAGCCCATAGCATTATTTAGTAAATCCAACCCAGTTGTTGCTGAAAATATACATTAATTGACAGTTTAAGTAATGTAGCATATTTACTACACATCAGCTCATTTGGTGAATTTGAAATTCTATGCCTGTTTGTCATATATATTAAAATGTGTGTGTGTGTTTGCATAAACACACAAACACACACATACACATACGTACATATTTTAATCCTCGGAGAAGTTTTTATTGTCAACAAACTACTCTAACTTATGTTATGCTACAAACAGAACAAAATGATTCATGTTGCTGTACCAATTTTGTCCCTTGCATAGTTGGTGGAAAATACTAGCAGCACTACTTATTCTGTATTTCATTTTCCTCTACAATGGGAGAACTTATGTTACATTATCTTTAAGTCAAAACAGCATCTCATCTGCTTTTTTATTGACTTGAAAATTTCACTTCAATTTTGAAATAACTTTCATGGCAGCTTTAACTTTTTGTGCAACTGTTTCCCTGACAGTAATGAAGTGCTGAGCATGTAAACTGTTGTTCTTTGATAAGGTAACAAAAATGTTTGTATTTGGAGAATTTAACTTTAATTATGCAGGAAGGTAAGTGTAATAAGTCTAGTGCTTGGTATATGGTACATCATAGATACATGAATACATGATAAGTTGATTGTTTGATCTATTTTCTTTTACTTAAAAGTGGATATGTTACATACAGGGAAAGGGAGAAAAAAATAATACTATATTGACATGTTTATGTCATGCAAAGAAAGATTGTGTCAACATTTCTATTACATACTCTTTATTTTCAGTAGGCTATAGCACCGTCATAAAGGTTTGCTTTAAGTAAAAGATGTAGGAGCAATTGTTTTCACTGTAATTCCCAAATACATTCTGGCTAGTTTCAAATAACTTCAGAGTAAATTAGTGATGTTATCTGATCTAGTTTTGAACTCAAATGAGTAAAAGTTCTAAGACAATGTTATTTTTTGAACAGTTGTTTTTCTATCAGGGCCTATAATTATGAGAGTTAAGAAAAAACAAATTGAAATTATTTTCAGTTCTGCAACCTGGGTTCCTGCTCATGTGCCGTAATCTTTTTCGTAAAGTTTTTAATAAACATTTCCATATTGCTATTGCCATGATCTCAACTGTGGAACAATACAAAACTGAATATGTATTGCGTTAATCAGTTACAGTCTATCAAGCTGACTATACAGGGTCATGTATTTTCAGAGTACTATGGTCTGCATGATGCAGGAGGCCAAAGTAGATGGTGGCAGTGTTTCCTCTGGCCTTTTAATGTAATGAAAAGGTTATTGACTGTAGACAAAAATTAATTTTTATTAAAAAAAATACATTTAAAAACTATGTAACTGTATATTTACTGGATAGGCTGGGATGGAGAGACTCGAATGGCTCCAAAGGAGCCCTTTCAAGTCTCCTGAATAAATGTAATACATATTTTATATATTCCTATGAACTTTTGTTCTTTTTCTTCTTTCAAAGTGGGGCAAAGGGACGGGATAATTAAAGAAAAAAATGTTTAAGGCTAATTTTGTGAATAAAAATTACAGAAGCTAATAGATTCAAACAAAAGTCACAGATTTAAACTTTTTCTTAGACGTGTACTTCACCTACCCAGTTGTTTGGTCAAGACTTCTGCACCATTAGCACTGTGGGTTAAGAACAGAGTGTAAGGCTTAATTATTGAACTTTCAGTTCTTCTTTGGGGGTCTTACTTCACAATCTTAGTGTCAGTTAAATGTAGCTTTTGGTACCAAATTATATAGAATCAAATCCTAGCTTGTTGGTTAGAAAAAAGTGCGTAGAATAGAAAGTAGGTCTACCTATAAACAATGGAAGAATTATATTCCTATTCTAGTTTTATTTCATTTGAACCATAGCTAAGGCAAACCTTAAAAAAGACACATAGCAAACAGAAGAGTGAATGTTCCAGGCACTGCATTTTCAAGAAGGTAGAAATGCAAGCTACCACACCATTAGCAGCCTAAATTTGAGATAGCACAAGATCACTGGGCTGAGGAGCAAGGATATGACTGCAGGGTCTTGCTCTATCCTGGCTCTCATATTCTCTCACAACATGGCCTAAATCATCTTACCAGTTATATAGGTGAAACCGTGCACTGTGGCAGTAGGAGATGTGAAGCAGCCACTACAGAGCAATAGCTCTCTTGTCACCTTTTGTTGTTGTCAAGACTGTCTTTGGACAGCTCTATTTCCAGAATTATAAATAGATGACTGCAGCCCTATGAGCTGTAGTGAAAATTATTATTACCAGTGGAGGGAACAAATGTCACTGACCACTTAGGTGTTCAGCTATGCTGTACAAATAATACTGTGTGGGAGCTAAGGAACAGATAACCTGTAATTGAATATGATGGTAAGCTGCTACTGATACACCAGCACTGCAATGTTAGGCGTACTTCCTTAGCTTACACTACACAGACTGCAGATAAACAGTGGTTCACATAAGACAAGACCATTTAAACATATGTCAGTTACAAAATCAGGTGTAAATTAACCATACACTCATAAATTTAATGTTTGATTTATGCATGTAAATCAATGAATTACCTGTCACTGGTCTCATGAAAAATGGAATGTGTGAGTCAAATCTGCCCAACCCATTCTTGTGATTTGCTATCTGAGATGACAGAGGCTGATAGAAAAAGACTGTCATCAGTGACATCAGTGCTGAAAATGTCTGGTAAGCATCAAAAGCATACAATTACTTGCTGCAGACCGCTTCCATTTGATGCTTGATCTAATTTTAGGCAACATAAATTCTGTATGATGTGGCGTTATTTGATGTGTGTATGTAACTAGGAAAGCCCAGCACTAATCAGGAGGTCATATTTTGAAGGGTCATCAGCATGTGACCACTGCAAGCATCTGTTCCTAAAATCAAATGTATTTCCAAGTCGTATGTAGACAGAATTAAACACATGCCTCATAAACAGGTCTTGTTTTCCAGTATACATAAGGTTTAGCATATCATTTACAAATTATAGTCAATTTATTAACATTTGCAGTTGCAGCTGCCCATTATGTCTTTGAGATATGACATTCTGTGAGAGGTGTACATAAAGTACATTTGCCCTATATAAACAGCCTTAAGTATTGCCCACAGTATAAAAATAAATTTTAGAGGCAGAGAAGACATAAATGAAGAAATCCTGATGTAAACTAGCATGCTAAAGACAATTTTCTCCACTTGGATGTGCATGCAGAACAGTGCTATGTGCTGTCATAGTAAAACTACATAAGCAATGATCATTAGTTTCCAGCCATTTATGGTGGCACAAAGCTTTCCAGTCCCACAGCTGTTTCTTCTTCTGTAGAATGACATTGTTCACAGATGACAGTTATAATAGCCACCACATAAACCAACGCTTTCTATTTAGTTAATAGTAATTTCTACCTGATGAAATTGCATCACATACTTTTTATAACTACAACCTTAATCTCCTTGGTGAGCTATCAGCATATCTTAATTCATAGCCTTTCATGCCCATGACTGTTTGTTTGCTGTTGTTGTAAAATTTATACTGAACATTCTCCCCATCTTGCCATCTGGCAGTAACACTTGGAATAATCTCTTTCATTGTGTGCATACATGTGTCCTGGTTCATCCCTTTGCCCATCCATCATTTGGGGAACTGGCTTTCTGAGAAGCTGGGATAGAATAACTTCCTAAAGGACCTGGTTAGCCTTCAGCAATTTGAAGAGTTTTTGGTGAAGTATTATATTACCTACAGGCAACAGAACAGTGTAGCTCCGCCAGATGGGCTCAACACTTGTAAAAAGTAGTGTGTTAAATCAGAAAATGATGTTTCTAATCCATATTTTCATCCTGCTGTGTTGGCACAGTTTAACACCCAGTCTACACACATATTTGTAGCTTACATGGCTGTACATAAAAGCATCTGCCTTTTGGAAGGTGAGAGTGGTTAGGGTCAGCAGGCAATCAGTGTTAACTCATTTATAAGGTATGAACAAATTTTGATTCCCTTACTATCATTTTTCATCCTCAAAGTATTTTTTTTATTTGTTTGTAATAATTTTTCTTACTGTTCATAATTACATGATATTATATATAGTTACAAAAGTACTAATGTACAACTGATATATTCCAGTTGAAATGCACAGTCCCATATTTAGGCATACAATTAATTTAAACAGAGATGCGCATACCATGTATGCTTGCTGTATGCTTGACTATTGCTACAATATTGTCCGTGCTCACATAGTGATCAAATCCTATGGAAGTAACCATGGTTGAGTCAGTTCCAAGCAGTTTATCTCTTTGGATATAAGTAGAGTTACATCACTTAGGAAATGGTACATGTGGTGTGTTCAGAAGACATCATCAGCAACCTACAGCGCTGTTTTAAATGATCATAACAACTACAATTCATACCTGCAGGGCACAGCTCTGGCTTGTATTTACATGGCTGTGTTTTACCTCATACCATAAAGTGCTATGAACTCTGGCCATGCGTCACGAGGTAGATGAAAACTATTAAAAAAGTCTTTCAGGATAGACATTGTCAAAACACACACAGCTCACAGAAATACCTGAAGTGATTATACCCAAGAAAATTTTATTCTGAACAGGAATCTAGAATTAAAGGGATGTGTGATAATGCAAATCATCTTTTTAATGTATGTTACACAGTTGGTAAAACATGGTCACCTAAGCTATACGCCTAACATCTATCTTTACTATGTTTCTAAAACCAAAATCTCTTGTCAGTTCATGCACAGTACTGTTGTACTGTGTCTGCTTGAAAACCATTTGATAGGATAGATCAAGGATTATGATCGTCCCTTCTCATCATCCAAGATGCACAGTTCATTATCTGCTAGCAGTATGCATTCCTCTGAAGGTGGTAGCTTTTGGATCACAGCTTTTCACAGCTATGACAAGTACAGATTTAAAGGAACACCCTACTGAAATCTTTCTCAAAGGAAACAAGTCATAAACTTTCTTTCCACAGTTTCTAGGATCCACAGGAAAGCAAACTAGGTCTTTTGGTCAAAGACTGCAAACAGACGCAGAAAAAGTAACATGAGCACATTTCCATTTTTCATTTCCAGAAGAATATAAGGAAAGGAATGAAAACATTTTTGTTTATAATTGCAAATACAAACCCAATTTCTCAGAAAGGGAAGGAGTCAAGGACCACTGACACCACTAAAACAGCATGTAACTGCTATGTAATCAACAATAGAAGAGATATTATCAAGAAGTTGGTCATAGCTTTGCAAGTATTACTGGTGTCCAACTGCAAAGGTATGTTTGGCCATAGGAAGTCCACTGAATTCTATGTCTGTTGTCATAACACACCAGAGAGCAGTCAGTCAAAAAGCTCCTCAGATAGTTACTCTGAACCTGACTACAAATACGTAGACTGCATTATTTATCTGCTGCATTCAAAAATCTTTTGAGAGAGATTTAGTCAAACTAACATCAGCCTGATATGTGCAAAAACTTACCACAGTGAAATGTTCTTACACTTGATTTCAGAAATTAGATCCAAAGAGTTATCTGTCATTTGAAGAACTCCACTGGATGAAATACTGAAGGACAAAGAACCCTTTACCTCTATTAGTCTATATTATAGCCATGTGTCAGTATCTCCATGATATCTCAGTCCTGAAGGGTTTGGTATAATAGAAATGCTTTTATGATCTTTGGATGGATTGTCTATTGCTATTTCTTTATGTAAACTGATAAATGCAATCAAACTTTTAATTCCTCTCCACCCCCTTTTTTCACTGTGCCCTGACACAGTTCCTGAATAAATAAGGTGATATTGAATTTTATATGCTTTTGGTGGACAAGTAAGAAACGATCTGTTCACTATACAGAGAAAAGAAGAAAATACAGTTTTGTTGTCTATCTATCTCAACCACACGCATAACATTTTACAGTCTGCAGTTTTTTGTGTCTATAGTGAAGAAGTAGTACCTTCTCAGAAACTCCTGTGAACGTTTCAGGAACTTGATATGTATCTTTCACTACATCTTGTTCATTGTCCAGTCCCTGAACACTGAGCTCAAATTACTCACTTCAGATTATTGAAGTCTCTGCCATCCATTTACTGCT